GGCAGCTGGGGGGTGTGAGTGATGGGAGGGTTGCTGGGGGGCCCAAAGCACTTTGGAGGGGTCTCAGGCCAGGTCCCCGGAGGCAGCTGGACTTTATGTGGCCTCTGATGCCCCCACACGTTGCCCTGAGCTAAGGTTCTGGGTGGGCCCCCTACCTGTCCCCCTCCCCGAGCCTTCAGCCTCCTGACCAGTGTTCCTGCCCCCGGAGCAGACCCCAGCCTCTGCCCAGGCAGGTTTGGATCTTCCTACCTGGAGGCAGGGTAAGGGGCTAGGGGGCTGTGCAGTGTTACATGTCAGGCTGTAACCCCAGCCCTGTTTGTCTGTGTAATTATTTTTGTAAAACTTGTATTATCTGTGGTTGCCACCCCCTTGCCCTTGGCCTCGGGCCCAATCTGTCTTCCAGGCCTGCCTGCACCTCACTCAGCTGCTCTGGGGTCTCTGCGCCGCCTCCCAGCACTGGCTGTAGGGCCAGCCAGCAGAGGCCCATGACCCAACAGCCTGCCCAAAGAACTCGTTTCTGGGGAAAGGGGTGGGGTGATGTTCAGCAGGAGGCTTGAGCCCAGAGCCCTGGAGAAGGGGACCCTACGTGACACCCCCTTGCCCTCCCTCTGCCAGGCTAAAGGCCCAGTCTTCCCAAAATGGGCTGCCCTTGTTCACGTGCCAAATGGCCCCAGCCGGCGTGCCCCACCCCCTCTCTGGAGCCAGAGCTCCTTCCCCCAAGCCCTGCAGTATCCGTTTGTCCGTCCTCTGTGCCCCTCTGTGCAGTGACAACCCCGGAAGAGCCGCCTCTAATCCTCTGTAGCAATAACGGTGCGCCGCCCACCCCTGCCCATCCGTGCACCACTAGGATTTTAAAGTCCATAGATTTTAATGAAATTTCTATTCCTGTCTCTGAGCCGCTGCTGTGCTTTGTCTGGGTCCCCCATGGGGACGAGAGTCAGGGCTGGGATGAGACCTCATCCTGCCAGGCCTTTGAGGGATGCCTGGGAAGAGAAAGGCCAGAGGCTGTGATGGTCAGGACCAGACACCAAGGACCAGGCAAGGGGGTAGGGTGAGGACCAGACAGACAGGCAGCCTTGGAACCCTGGTGAGGGCTCATCCAAGACTAGATCTAAAGTGGGCTGGGCCATGGCAGCTGAGAGGTGTCAGCAGCAGACAGGGCGAGTTCCAGCAGAAGCGGAAGTCTCCTTCCTGCCCAGCCCTTCAGGCTGGGGCCTGGGGCGCCACACTGGACATCGGAGTGGAAGCTGGCCTTTTTCTGGGGCTGCACTGAAGCTTCCGTCCCCAGCGGCAGGTGGCGGCCAGGCCTTGAGGTTTGGGGCAGCGCTCCAGAGGAGGAGAGGGCAGGTGGCACTGGAGAGGCCTGGCCCAAACTCCAGCAGCCCCACGGAAGCAAGGCAGTGGTCCGAGGCCCTGGCTGGAGGACTCCAAGGGCCGCAGCCTGAACAGGAGGGAGTAGCTGTGAGGGGGCCATGGCCTGACGCTTAGCCCACCCCGTCCAACTGTCCACCTGCTCTGGTTTACCTGTGACCGGGGGAGACACAGGAAGGCCTCAGAGGTGCCCGCAGCTCCTGTTGCATGGCTGCCTTCTGTTCTTGTAGCTCTGGAGGAGAGGTCTAGCTGAGACACAGCACTCGGCAATCCCAGGGTGTGTGTACAAGAGCGGGACAGGGACAGGAGGCTGGGTGCTCTGGGGCCTGCTCAGGGTCCTCACCTGCCAGGGTGGGCTCTAGGGTTGCCTCAGAGGGCCAAGGGGCCCCTGTATACTCCTCTTCCAGGCGGTGCTGCAGGGAGAGCTGGCTCAGTGCCCAGCCTTACAGGAAGGGGTGGGGTGGGGTGGGGCGGGGCAGGATGCAGAGGCCAAGATACCCATGGTGGGGCCCAGGAACCACCCCATGCAGCCTCCTCATCCCAGCCACCTGAGGACACTCCTGAGAGGAACACCAGCCTCCCTGAAAAGCTGAGCTTGGCAAGGTAGTGGCAGGCCCGAACCCAGACATGGGGAAGAGAAGGAGGCAAAAGACCAGGGGCAAATCCAGCAGGTTAATCTAAAAGTGCCGACCTTGGACTTAGGGACTCAACCAGAATCTGGATTCACACGTACGGGAAGTGTGCATACAGGAGAAATGGACAGAGGACTCACACAATCTTTGCACACACATACACACACACACATGCATGTGGATCTCACACACCAGGTGAGAGACGGGTGTGTCTAGGCTCAGCAGAAAGGCTCTGGGGGTGGGGAGGCCCAGGGCTGCCGCTCACCTGCAGGATGGCAATCTCCCTCTTCAACTTGCGACACTCCTCCTCCAGGAGGGCCCTGGGACATGGGGGAGTGCGGCACCGGCAGCAGTGCTGCAGGCCCAGGTCACAGCAGAGCCCGCCACACAGACCCAGCCTCCAGCCTTACCAGGAGTTCCCTCTAGGCCCTCCTTTCTCAGCCCACCTCTCTCTCTGCTGCCCAAGTGCAATCCCAGCACGGCCTTGCAGCCCCGCCGGCCTCTTCCTGGGCAGGACGTGTCCTCTCCTTGCCCGCCTCCCAGCGCCCACGCTGGGGGGCCGCATTCTCTCTTCTTCACGACAGTATTGGGCCTGCAAGTCCTCCTGCCTCCATTCTCCCCCAGATCACAGCCCTTCCCCTGTTTAAAAGACTCTTCTGTGGTCCATCTCTCTCCCACACCCCAGGATAAAAGTCCTCAGGCCAAGGCCCCAGCTGGCATCCCTACTTGGCTACTTCCTGGCAGCAACCTCACCAGCACCCTGCCCCTTCCACCTCTCAGCCCTACTCTCCTGGGTCTCCCCATCAGGTATGCTGCCTCCCTCCTCCTTCCTCATAGTCCCAGTACGTTAGGATCCATCCCCCGTCCCACCCTCCTTGTCTCGACCCCCACTGCACACACTCAGGGGCCTCACCGCAGGTATCCGGCAACCTGGTCAACGTGGGACACGTTCAGTTGGTCCTTGATGACGCTGAGGTCCCTGTGACAGCTGCTGGCAGATGAAGTCAACATCACTCTCCCATGTTGCTTCACCCCAGGCCTTCAGGACACAAATGCCATTTCTCCTAGACAATTTTGTGTGTTTTCTCACAAAGGCAACATAAGATGGTACTAAGAGGAGGAGTTCTGGAGCCTGGGTTTTCAAATGGGCTCTGCCACCCTTCACTGTGTGTGAGCTTGGACAAATCAATCATTCATTCTGAGCTTTAGTTTCCTCATCTGCAAAATGGGGACATCACCCACTTCCTAAGGATGTGTGACAAATAAGTTGCTGCCATTCAGTGATGAACACGCTGCTGCTCATTTATCTCGTGCAGTCCCCAGCCCTCTCTAGCTCAGCCCTTGCAGCTGTTCTCCAGGCCGGAGGAACAACTGACCACGGGATGAAGCCTTTCCTTCCACCCATGTCTGCGTGTAGTGCTCCCTCTTCCTGCAAAGCTCTTCTCTTTTTATCTGTCTGGAAGTCTGTTCCTCATGCTCTAAGACCCAGATCAAACCAAGCTTCCAGGCTTGGTACATGTCTCCTGGGCCTGCAGCCCTCATGTGCTGATCCCTACAACAAGTGGCTGTAGAAGTATCCAGTCCCAGACCAGGAGCTCCTCCATGCCGGCAGGTGGGACCCGCCAGTTGGCTGGGGTCTCTGCCAAGCGGGAACACACCCCTCCTTTCCTACCACTATACCTGGGCTCACCAGCTCTCAGGCGGAATATCCCCTGCTCTGGCAAATCACGCCTGGGCTCCTCCAAGGCAAAGCGCAGGACCCCGGGGCTATACTGGACCCAAGCCTGGGTCTGGTCCCTGCAGAAGGTGCACACGGGGAACACTCAGGGGCTCCTTCCAGGGAACCACAGGAAAGGCGACCCTGGCCCCTTGTCAATTTCAGGGCTAGCCCATCTGAGTTCTGGAGACAGGGCCCAGCCCCAGGTCTGAGGCTCCAACCTGCCCTCACAGATGGCCTTCCCGCGGAGATCTTGGAGCAGCTGCCGCAGTTCCTGGCGCACGAGGTCTCTTAGGAGGGGCGGTGGTGCCAGAAGGGAGGAGAGGTCAGAGGTGGGGCGCGAACCAGGGGCTTGGAAGGATCGAGCCTCTCGGAGCAGTGATCGTAGCACCACCACCTGCAAGGAGAGCTGGGACCCCTTGCGACTGCGGGGCAGAAGTAAGGGGAGGAAGGGGAGCTAGGGGAGTGAGGGGCAGTGCAGAGTTTAACTGGTAGCCAGAGGGCTGGGTGGACAGTGAGATCTGACAAGAGCTCGAAAGTTACCGGGCAGAGCCAGGGACCCGGAGGAGGTGAGGAAATCACCCAAGTCGTGGGATAGGCCTGGAGTGGGGCCCACATTCCCACGCCCCACCTCTGCCCGCAGCTCCAGGCTCAGGTCCACCGTCGTCTCCCCTAGAATCCTCTTCACTTCGGGCCGTTCCGGGAGCGGAACGTGCTCTTCCACCAGCTCCCACAGCGGCGGAGAGTCCCCAGGCATGGCCTGCCCGCACCGCCACCCCACAACGCGCGGACTGCCGGACAGCAGGTCGGAGAGCTGGGTTACTGGGAGACCGCGGGTCTCCCAGGGCCGGGCACGCCCACACACGCCCCACCCCTTCCTGGTCTCACATGCCACGCCCCCAGCCTGTCGCTCGGGCCATCCTCTCCCCAGCCCCACCCCGTTCTGCCGCCCCTCCCTACGACTAGAGTTGCCCGGTCCAGAGCCGCCGATCTCTGGCGCCGTCTCTTCTACTGGCCGACTCTCCGTGGCCGGGGACCCAGGAGCCAGGCCGCGGGACTGGGGCCCTAGCCCCGCCTCTTCCGCGCGACCGTCACCCGGGAAACGGGGTCCGCTACCCAAGCCCCGCCCCCAGAAGGCCCCGCCCCCGCCCATTCCAGGGCGGCGCCGGCTCGCGAAGCCCAACCCACAGCCGTGGTAGGTGGTTTTGGAGTGCGAACCATCCACCCCGCCCTGATTCCAAGCACCTTTCGGCTTCAGGGCAGGTGAAAGAACGGAGAAATCTGAGCCCAATGGGTTTATTACTTCTTTGTCTCTTCTGGCCGGGAGGCAGCGGCAGGGTAAACATTTCTCCTTCCAGCCGGCGGAAGTCTAGCGAACCACTGCGTTTCGAGGGGCGTGGGGAACCAGGACAGCCTGGGCCAGACCGATAGGCTGTCCTGGTTCCCCCTGGCCGTCCCGTAACACACTCCGGGTCTGGGTTTAGGGATCCAGATCCCCATCCCCAAACAGACAAAGGGGCTCCTCCAGTCACGTTTTTTACTAAAGCACCCACACAAGTTTCTGTGCAATGTACAAACACGAGCCGGCCCTGGGGCTACTGCCTTCTCTCTGAGGGGGGCGGGGCAGGAACCCAACTGATCCGAGCCCCAACCGCCCCCATGCAAAGCCCAACCCCAAGATCCCAGGCAGCGACACAGCACCCCCTCTGGTCCCCTCCTGGCGCTGCTCCTCAGCAGGGGGTGCACCGGAGTTTGCCCCCTACAATGTTGAGTGAAAAAGGTTTCCCCTCCCCTGGGAGCATGGGGGATCCCCAGGTCTGAGAATTCCCCCTGGAAGCGACATTGCCCCCTAGTCATACCTCCCACTCTTCCAGGCCCTAGGGGACTCAAGGGGGGGAAACTGAGGCACAGAGAGGTGGAGTGACCTGGCCCAGGCCACTCGGCGAGGCAGTGCAGGGGCTGGCCCAACCCTGACAGTGAGGAGGGCTGAACTGGGGAGGGAGGAGCAGGAAGAAGGGTTGACCCCAGAGAGGGCCACACTTGAGGGGCCTGCCCAGGACAGAAGCTCCCCGAAGTAGGTTCTGAAACTTCCAGGTGCAGCTGGGGGGCCTACTGAAGACCCTCAGAAAACAGAGCCCACAGTCTCTGTCCTGGGGGATCTGTCACAGAGCAGCCACCAGCCAGGCTGTAGGTCAGTCCTCTGGCAGGCATCCTTGGCACTGGTAGCCTTTGTCCATTGGTGTCAGCCCCGAGGGGGCCATGATGGGGGCCGCCCAATGTCCACTGTGATATTAGTGAAGAGCGGTTGCCGAGACACTTCCAAGACCTGGTACCGCACTGACCCGATGCCGTCCCGCTTCATGGTCAGCTTCGTGTTTTGAATCTTGGTAAACCTAGATAGGATGGAAGTGGGTCCAGATCAGGGCTCACCACCAAACCCAACAGAGATCACTGGGGCCAAGGGGCACGCCATCCTGGCTTCTTCCTGGGGTGACTCGGTTCTCTTCGTCGCCCCCTCCACCTGCCTGGAGCCCTTTGGCTCTTGCAACTACCCTCAAAATAGAGATCTCACCCCCTTGAGTCCAGAATCACAACACCCTCACAAATCTTTCTCTCATCTCAGACCTAGACACAGGGCACCCCACAGGTACCTCAAATGCAACGGGTCCTGTATTGTATGCACCATCTTTACTCCTCACACCCATCATCTCTGTGCCATCTTCTCTGTTCCTCATTCTTTAGTCACTCCTTCACCATCTATTTATTGAGCAGTCCCCGTGTGCTAGGCGCGCTCTAAGCACCAGGGTCACAGCCATGAACAGGACAGCAAGGTCCTTCCTCTCGTGGCAAGTCTATTCCACTAAGGGAGACAAGTAACAGACAAGGAAGACATCAGCGCGCTAAGGGAGACAGGAGAGGGAGACCAGGATGACTGCCGTGGAAGGGGTGCGTGCGGGCCATCAAGCTGACAGCAGAGGAAGAGCATTCCAGGCAGAGGTAACAGCACGTGCTGACCCTACACTGGAAATGAGAATTTGCACAGCTGAGTGGCTCGAGCTTAATGGGCCAAGGGGAGAAACCAGAGTAAGATTAGCTGGGAGGTTAGAGCATGTACGGGCAGGCCTCTGTAAGTCAGAGGAAGCAGATTTTTATTCTGTGGGTGAGAAGACACTGAGGGATTTTTCGCCCAGTTTGGGGGAGGGAGGGCCAGGGAACATGAACTCTAGAAGAGGGAAGACAGAAAACCGGCCGGGCAAGAGGACGGAGGCCTCACTAGGGCAGAGGTAAAGGGAAAAGTGGACCAGCTCAGATATGTTTGGGGGGTTGCACTGATGTGACCGGCTGATGGTCCGGACATGTAGGGTGAGGGAAAGAAGAATCCAGAACTCCTAGATCTGAGGCAAAAGCAACTAGGTAGATGAAACCAGCATTCACAGAGTTCCTTAAGCCAGAAACATCTCGCTATCATGCCACTCCCCCCCCCCCCCCCCGCCCGCCCAAGGCAGACATCACAACTGAGGATGACACCTAGACACGCTATTCCTGAAACAGGACCATGGCCCCTGGCATGTGCTTCCAGAGCTCCTCCCACCCCTCATCCCAACTGTTTTGATCCTCCCAGTCCTTCTGAGCTCAGTTCAGATCGCTCTCCAGAGCCATCCCAACACTGAGCGCTCTCTCTCAGATGCCCCGAAGCACCTCTTCTCCCAGCCTCTCGTCCTTTCCCTGCTCACCATGGTTTTTATCTGAACTGCTTTTTCATCAGCTCCCTGGACGCCTGGTGCGTCACGCTTCTGCCAAAGATCAACCCTCCATCAGTGCTGCCACCTCCCTCCCCACTCTGACGCACTGGCTTCAGAGCAGAACATCCCTACTGGTCCCGTGTGGACACGGCAGTGTCACACCACATGCACCCGGGGCTCTGTCAACTCCTTTGGGCCTAGTCTGCTTCCTCCTGCTCCACCCGGCAGCTCTGCCAGCCCTTCACCTTCTTCAAACTCAAAGGGTGATCCTTCCAAACCCAAATCTGGTCCTGCCCCCTCCCCGCTGGAAACCCTTCCATGACTCGCCAGTGCCTCTGGGACAAAAGTGAAACTCCCAACCTGGGATCAGCAGAGACCTCCTCTCCTGTCACTCCCAGCCTTCAGACTGAAGAGTTTCAGACTCTCAGCGTATACAGTGGACGTTCACATTCCAGACTCCTACACATATTATTCCTTTTATCCAGACTGGCCTCCTCCATCAGCCTGGTGAATATAGCACTGTGCCTAGGGTAGGTGTGTGACACATATTTGTAGAATGAATAACTCTTTTCAAACTCCAGTTTACCATCACCTCCTCCAGGAAGCCTCCCACCATCACTCCCTCTTCTGCCAGGACAGCACCTTGCCCTGATCACCCTGTGCTGCCTCTGCCGGCCTCCCTGCCTAGAATGAACTTCACACGGGCTATCCAGCCGGGACTGGGTCTGACTGCTCTGCACCCTCTCGCCCCCGGCCCCTACATTTCACATGCCCTCAGGCACTTCTCCCACCCAGCATCAGACACCAATGTTGCTTCCTCCTCAAAGACCAGCCGCCTACTCCAATCTCAGAGGGCTCAGCAATGATTTCCACTACCACCCCACATTGCTTGGGCCACCTCTGTTGGGTCCGCAGGCCCTGGAGCTGTACCCTGGGCCCGCTATCTCTCGTCCTATCTGTTCTGGCACAAGTGAGGTCTGCGAGGGCACCGAGAGGAATGCGAGCTACTCAGTGACGATCTGAGCCCTGCCTTTAAACTTCAGTCACTTCTAGGAATCAGGCCAGGGGCGAGAGCCAGATGGGGAGAGGCTGAGCTGGGCACTGGGGAACAGGGCTCGGGGTGGTGGCAGTCATCTCTAGAAGTCAAGGGTCGGGGACCTTGGGATCACCTCTGGGGATCAGTGGCACCGGGACATCACCTCTACAGAGGGAGGGGCCGGGGCGGTGGGGGTCGAGGGCGCTGGGGTCACCTTTGAGGGTTGGGCTCATTATGCTTGTCCCGGTCGTGCTTGATCATGCGGTAGCGGCCTATGCGGATGTCTGGGCGCGAGATCTTCATCCCAGCCAGGGAGATCCTGGGGACGGGGACAGCCGGGCTGGAGCAGGCGCCAGGAAGGGCGAAGAGCCCCGCCCGGTCTGCGCCCCACCCCCCACCTCAAGCACCCAGTCTACTCCCCACCTTGTCACCACTCACCGGTTGAAGATGTCGTCATCCTCACCACCCCAACCCCAGTACTCGTTGGGGAAGCCATTGATTCTCAGGAACTGGGATTTATTCAGGCCCGACACACCTCCAAAGTAGCCGGCATAGGGCAGCCTAGGGCATGGAAGGCAGGCATCAGTGAGGGGCCCCCGGGGATTCCAGACGGAGGCCCGGCAGCTAGGGGGCCACTGGGGCTGGGAGCGATGGCCTGGGTGGGGTGGTGAGGCCCGGGTCCACCTGAGAAGGGAGCCCTCACCGAAAGCCGAACTTGTCCATGGCAATGGCGAAGTGGCGAGGCTGGTCGCCACAGCGGTACAGGTTGCGGTCATCCATGGGCACCAGGTCCACGTCACTGAAGATGAAGCAGTTGTAGGTGGCGTCCTCCTTCAGCGCCTCTAGGAAACCCACATTGAGCAGCTTGGCCCGGTTGAAGGTGTCCTCACCATGCTGGGGTTGGCGGAGGGGACAGGTCAGCTCTGGGCCTGAGACTCAGAGACACCTGCCACTTTACCACCGTCCAGAGCGGTCCCTGTGGGCCTAGTACTACCCCACCTGCCCCCACTGGGGCCCCCAGACTGTAGGGATCAAGGCCAGCTCTTTACCCTGGACCTGGCCTTGCAAGGCCTTTCAGGAACTGACTCCACCTGCTCTCTGCCCTCAGATCAGCCTGGTGAATATAGCACTGCCCTCAGATGCCACTGCCCTCAGATGCTGAGGCCCAGCTGTACTACATTCCTCCACGACCCCAGAACATGCCAGACTCTTTCTTGCCTCCAGGCCTCGGTGTTAGCAGTTCCCTCTGCCTGGAATGCTCTCCTTCTCTGCTTATCAAACTCATGTCTGGAAAGGCCTCTGTCACCAAGCCTCCCCGCCCCAGTATAATTACTCATTTCCTCCTGTGCGCTTCACTTATGCCAGGGTCCATTCCAACTGTTACAATTTAGAGCTCTCCTTTCATTCATTCCTTCAAACATGCCACGTGGCCCTGTCCTTGGTGCCAGGCGTCTTCTCTCTGCTGGTGCAGATCCTAGAGATGACTGGCCCTGAACACAGTTTCCCTACTGAGCACGTCACAGAGTGAGATGAACAAAACATGCCCCCAAATGACCAGCATCTAAGATGCAGGGACCATGAGGACTGAGCCATGAGCCTCAGCCACCTGTCCCCTCTGGCTCACGTAGATCCTCATCCAACTCCCTGGGCAGCCTCTGGGACCAGGACGGGACCAGGCTCAACTCATTGTCTCCCCAACAAAATGATAAGCACAGTGAGCCTCGGATCCCCCGAGAAATGGGCTGCGGGATGAGGTCTCCTTGAGGCCAGCCTCCTGGCCATGTAGCCCCAAGTTCCAAATTCTGGCCAGAGCAAGGAGGGTTCCATGGAAGGAGCTGGCTGGCCCCTGAGCCCCCTGATCCAACCCATGATCTCCAGGCTGGAGCCAGAGAGGCTCCTGGTCTCCAAGTGGAACCTTCTGGTAGGAGAGGAGGAGTAGCCCCTCCTCTTCACCGGCCAGCCTGGGCCCGAGGGGGTGGGAGCTGCTCCCCTGGACCCTGAACGGCCCAGCCCCACCTGCTCTCTTTTCTCCTTGCCCTGAACCTTCCCACCAGCCCTTGGAGCAACTGTCCATTTTCTCCTGGCTCATTGGAACTCCTTTCTAACCTCACTCACCACCCCAGAGCCCTAGGTTTCTCCCACAGGGCTCATAAACATGCTCATTTCTCTCCCATCCGAAGAAAGCCCTCCCTCTAGCCACCACCCTACCTTTTGCCTTCCCTTCTCAGCAGAGGGGTTTTTTTTGATCGAGAGTTGTCTCCAATTGGCTACTTGCATTTTGTCAAATCTGATTCCTTCTGCAACCCACTGCAATCTGCTTCCGCCCCCACCAGGCCCCTGAAATGGCTCTCGCTGGGCCCACCTTGTTGCTAAATCCACTGGACGCTTCTTGGTCTACATCCTTCCTTACTCCCCCAGCAGCGCTCATGCAGCTGCCACGCTCCCTTCTTTTTTTTTTTTTTTTCCCGGTACGCGGGGCCTCTCACTGTTGCGGCCTCTCCCGTTGCGGAGCACAGGCTCCGGACATGCAGGCTCAGCGGCCATGGCTCACGGGCCCAGCCGCTCCGCGGCATGTGGGATCTTCCCGGACCGGGGCACAAACCTGTGTCCCCTGCATCAGCAGGCGGACTCTCAACCACTGCGCCACCAGGAAGCCCCATGCTCCCTTCTTGGCACTTATTCCTGGGCTCCTGGGACACCAAGCTCTCCTGGGTCTCCTCAAACCTTTCTGGCCAACCCGCGTGGCCTGTGTGTTCCCTCTTTCTCCACCCATTCCCTTATGTTCTGGCTTTCTCCTCTCAGCTCCCAAGCCCCCTGGGCAGGCTGACATTGCTGGTTTTAGGGACCATCATCTGTATACTGGTGGCTCACAGATCCCTCTCCACCTCAGACGTCACTCCTAGGTCGATTCATTTGTCCAACTGCCTGCTGAACATTCCTCTTATACTTCCCCCAGGCACTTAAATTCATCACATGCAAAAAAGAATTCAGAGTTGCACTCTCCCCCAGACCTGGCCTAGATCCTATGTTCCCATCTCATTCAGAGGCGCAGGCATCCACACTGCCAACAGTCAAGACAGAAACCCTCGAGATGTCCCGGCATCTCCCTTTCCTTACTCTCTGCCACTTGTGTCACATCTCTCCCCTCACCCGCACGACTCCTGCCCGACTCGTATGCACATTCACCACCTCCTTCCTGAAGCCTGCCTCCAGGCTCCCCTTCCAACCCACTGTCCACAAGCAATCAGAGCAATCTTTTTAATAAGCACACATACACATTACTCCCTCATTAAAACCTCACAATGGTGCCCCATCACTTTCAGGCCAGAATCCAACTGCTTAAGATGCCTCCTAAGACCCTTCTGGATTTGGCCTCCACTAGCTCTTCCAACCTCATCTCTGTTACCCACCCTACATGTTGGACCCCACCCCTCAGTGGACAGTTCCCAAACACATGAGACCAGTTCTCTCGTTGGGGCCTGGGGCCTCCAGGTCCCTCTACATAAAATGCTTGCCTCCTCCAGTCCCTCCGCCAGCTGATGCCTGATCATTCCTCAAGACTCATCTCAATCGTCGCTTTCCCACCCCAGGGCTGGACCAGGCCCTTTGGTGGTCCCACTGCCCCCTGTTCCAACTCCAGTCACACACCACTGTCCTGGAGTCTAAAGGGATCCAAGTTCAAGTCTGGGAGTTCTCTGTGGGGAGGAGGGCCTCTATCAGATCCTCTCCAGGTTCCGGAAGCCAGCCCCAGCCAGGCCCGTGGCAGGGCTCAGAGCCTGAGCTGAATTCCTGGATCTCAGCTGTGCTCAGCACTTGGCCCTAAGGCAGACTTGATCCCTCTTTCAGGTCTAACTCTCCCTCTGCTCGGGGCCCTCCATATCTCATAACCAGCATACCCTAAGCCGCCACCCCCATGGATGGGGCCTATCACGGGTGGACAATGGCGCTCATGCCCTATCGAGGCCACGCACACACCTGGCAGTGTGCACACCACCATTAACACATGTGCACTCCCCTGAATGCACATACAAACCTGCCTACACACGCAATGACATACACGTGCCCCCACATGCACGTACACATGTCCGCACCACCACTGGCAGACAAGCAGCCACGAATGCCCCCAACCCTGTGGCTCCACCAGCAGGCATGTGGGCCCTTCACCCACGGGTGCTCATAGGTTCCCTGGTGGCTGGTGGCCAGCCTGGGGGCCGCAGGCAACACACCTGGTTGATGACATAGATGCCATAGCGCAGCCGCTGTCGCCTGAGGATGGGGTGCAGATAGTGGAGCCAGTAGCGTAGGTGGTGCTCCCGGTGTCGGAAGGGGATGATGACCGCCACCGTCTGGGCTGGCGTGCAGTCGGGCGGTGTATAGCGGCCGCCCAGGAGCACGCCTGGGTTTTCCCTCTGCACCCGCTCCAGGGGCATGGGTGAGGTGAACTCAATCAGCAGTCGGCCCACTGCAGGCAGGACGGTGGCAGGAATCAGGCCTTCATCAGAACCCAGGAACACCAGCCCTCTCCCTCCGCCTGGGGTGGGCAAGGGAACCCCAGGAACAGCCCTCTGACAACACACCCAGACCCTTGGCACTCCCGTGGGTCAAGACTCCACTCCCCCAGTCCCCTGCCCACCCCTAGAGGCAAGCCCCACCCTGTAGGCTCACCAAGACCAGGCGGCGAGTCAGGACAGGGTGGCAGGACAGGAGCCGTGGGGCCTGGCCGGGCGCTGGGAGCCTCGGGGAGCCCGGAGCTGGGGGCAGTGGCGTTGGGCCGAGAGCAGTTGGTGCTGCTGCTGGCAGCTGGGTGGAGGGCATGGGCGGGGCCTCGTGCACTGAAGCGGCTGAAGAAGGCCAAGTGCTGGGCGTAGACGTCAAAGTAGAGGATGACGGCCACGAGAAAGTGTAGCAGGCAGAGTAAGAGCACGGCCTTGCAGACGCGCTCCAGCGTCCCCCCGAGCAGTCTGCTCATCCCGCAGGCGGCCACCGGCCCACCCAATGGGCCCGGGCATCCGGCTGCTGGCCTGAGCAGGGGTAGGAGAGAAACAGACCCAGGAGGTCAGGGCCGGAGGGGCTAGGCCACCCACCCACCTCCTGCGCACCGCTCACATTCTTAGACCCGCATCCTCACGCTTACCTGCTCACACCCTTCGACTTACATTCTACCTGCAAATACACACAGTCCCGGGCAACTCACTACTCCCACATCTTCAAACAATGCCTTCCTTCCTCATCCTCATTGACACTCATAAGCACAGCCTCACCCACCCTCACACTCAGGTACGTGCCCTTATTGCCCGACTTCACACACACCCTATGGATTCCCAAGCACGTGGACATGTGACCTCTAGTTCACGCTGGCTCATACCTGAACAAGGAAACACGTTTACGTATAGACCCACATGTGTTCTCTGTGCCCCAGAGAACAAACGCCCCACAGGCCAGCATCCTCAACCCAGGACTCCTGGTCTGGGGGAGAGAGACCACTTACTGAGTACTTACCATGCAAGAGCACTTTGTACTCAAGACTTCATTTAGTCCTCTGGGGAACATGGGGGACAGTGGTTTGGTTGGACATGTTCCAGTGGCAAGCAAGCCAGGCCATCTGGGACCAGGCTGCGAAGTGGCCCTCAGCATCCAGGTGGCCCAAATCTGAACAAGATGTTTATGGGATACCTTCCCTCTGGAGCAAGAGGTCAAAATACAGAGTGGGGCATCAGACACACCTCCCATAAGACCTCAAGGATTGGGATGAACTCTCTGGGGCCTGCCCAGCACTGCTGGTTCTGATGCCCAGAAAGGGGAACGCTTGGGCCCTGGAGACAGCATGTTAGGAGAGGGTCTTGCCTGGGCCATGGCTCTAACTGTGGGTCCGACACAGCAGCAACACTTCTGGGGGGCACTCCTGGCAGTGCTTCAGAGAGCAGGGTGAGTCTCACTCAGATACACAGCATCGCACAACCACACAGACACCCGCAGTCCCAGCTACAGTCACCTGCACTCAGAGACACACAGAACTACATATAGAGTCACAGACACGCCTGGGTGACAGTAACAGCAACACAACGAGTCACGCACTCACAAAGCCGCTGCTCCTGGACTTACAGAGTCACACAGACGGGCTCCCGGGGCAGTTCACAACACCCGGACCCACGTGCAAATACTCCCACCCCTCCCTCCGGAGCAGGGGTTCTGGGTCAGGCTGCCAGGCTGCGAGGTGCGTTTGGGCGGGGCTGTAAGGCTCAGTGGCCTGAACACGTGGCACCCCGAGACCCGGAGGCAGCGAAGACAGGGTGGGTGTGGAGCCTGGCGGGGAGGGGGCTTGGAGGAGAGGATGTGGGGTAGGGGCCGAGGAAAGGGGAGCGAGGAGCGCCTCCCCACGCCACAAGGCCAGGGTGAGCGAGGACAATAAGGGAGGCTGGCTGGGAGCGGGCAGAGGAGCCCGTGGGGGGCGAGGAGACTCGAGGGATGGGGGTAGGGTGGGGTGACGCCAGGCCGGGGTCCGGCCGCTAGCGACTCTCACCGGGTCCTGGGCGGGGATCTCCGGGCCGCGCTCGGGGCACCCTCGCGGGGCCGGGTCTAGAATCTCGGGGCCCCGGACTGGGGGCCGCGCGCGACCCCCTCTCACCCGGCTCTCGGGGCTCAGCAGGGGGCGCCGCTCCGGCTCCGGCTGGATTCCGGGCTCCGGCGGCTGCGAACGGCTCCGTCCCCCATGGCCCGGCCCCGCCGCCTTCCGCCTCCCCGGTCAGCGGCCCCAGCGGCCCCCGGACCGCCTCCCGCCGCCGCCGCGGGCCATGGAGCCGAGCCGCCCCGGGGGGCAGGGCGGGGCCGGGCGGCCGGGCAGACCCACGGACCCGCCGACCGAGAGACCACAGCGCCGCCACCTCCCTCCCGCGCTACGGCGCCTCGGAGGGGCAGGCCCGGCCCGCGCGCCCGCGCGCGCGCCCCCGCAGCCCCCCGCCTCCAGCGCGCCCGTACCCGCCGCGCGCCTCCGACGCCCGCCCCTGCCGGCGGTTAAGCGCGACGGAGCGAGGGGACGGAGGACCAGGGAGGGGCGGGAGAAATTAATCAGACTCATCCAACGGGATGGATTCGAGGTCCGAACCGGAGAGGGTGTGGATGGGTAAAACCCATTACGGAGGAATGGGGTCTGGTCTGGGTTGGAGCGCAAACTCAGCCAAAGAAGGGCACCTGGAAGTTAGGCCAACTCGTGCAGGGAGGTCAGGGATTTGTCAGCTCATCGATGGGAGCATGACTAAGGGTCCGCCAGAGGAGGGGGCTGCTAGTTAAAACTGGGCAGGACACTGAAAGGCGTAGACAGAAGTGTGTGGCAGGGGCTTCTAGGGAACAGGAGGTTGGACAGGAGTGGGAGGAGCTGGACATGGCCCCAAGGGATCAAAGTAGTTACCGGCAGGGTCTGGTGCTGGGACGGGCAGAGGCAAATGAATGCGTTCCAAGGCCCCAGGGGTAGAGATGATGGATGCCTGAGGGTAGAGCCAGGTAAGCAGATGTGGCTAACTGGGGTGGGCTGACCAGAGCCCTGAAGGCATGGAACTAGGACACCTCCCTTCCCCACACAAACACATGGGCCCATATACCTAGACCCCCCCCCTTCCCTTCAATAAAGATGTTCAGAGCTACAGAGTCCTCAGCCCAGCACACTTTCCTTCCAACCCAGGAGCCATCGTTGTCCACAGCAGAGACAGTGTATATGAGTCGGAAAGTCGGCAAGAAGCTGGCATGAAGTTGAGAACTACAGGCCTGTTTACCCTTCCTCTGTGAAAGGAGGTGGCGAAGAAAGGCAACAGAAGCAGCACTGACCCAGACAAATACCATGTTTATTTCACAAACACTGGGAAGATGGGTTGGAGGTGGAGGTGGGACACGGGTGCCAAGCTGCACACAGTCAACAGCAGCCCACTCCCCACACTGCGGATCCAGCCAGGCAGTGCCTCAGAAGTGAGTGCAGGGAGGGCTCTGAACACCAAGCCCCCTGAAAGACTAAGGGGCACAGCTCCAGCTGTCCCGGGAAAACCACAAATAAATACGAGTGGGGCACGGCCCCGCCCACGCAGATCATCTAATCACCCATCTTCACTCTGGAGGTCTGCAAAAGAAGTACAGGAGAAATCAGTCAGGGACAGAGAAACAGATTAGACAATGACAAATGACAGATGATCAGACCCATGGCAGGATGGACAGACCACAACAGATGGATGACTAGACCAGGATGGACATGTTGTGATAAACACAGTGAACAGGGACACAGAGACAACTACAGAGTTCAACTGTGGGACAGACAAGACAGAGAGAAGTGGCATATGGACAGTGCCAGTCACCAAGTCAACCCAGTCAGGCGCCCACAGTCACACTCAGACACTCAGGCTGATCCTTAATCACACACACCTCCGATGTGCTGTCCTACTGACATCACAGTCAAACACACCAAGACGGACTGAGACAGACGCATCCCAACCTGGTCTAGACTACAAAGACAGCGAGGAAGAGACAAAATAACAGAACAGCAAAGAGAAGCTAAATCTTTTGTATATAGACACAACAGACAAAAAAAGACAGTTGTCAGTGATACCACATTGAAGACAGAAATAAATGGAGAACTTCAAAAGGGGAAAACCAAAAGATGGGAACTAAGTGGTAGAAACTATTTAAGAGGTTCTTATGGTTACAGGTGTAGACGGAAGCACTGTGGCTCCTCCAGAAGCGTGAGGCTGGGTTGGGGACAAGAATAGAGGCTTCCCAGGGGGATTCAGCACCTGAAGGATCGCAACGATGACCCCAAAGAGGCCGATGGCACTGCCAAAGATCTCCACGATGAGAATCTTCACAAAGAGGCTGGGGTTCTGTGCATCAGCCAGGGCGGCACCACTGCCCACGATGCCCACGCACACTCCACAGAAGAGGTTAGACAGGCCCACCGTGAGGCCAGCCCCAAACATGGAGTAACCTGGAGGGACGGAAGGGGAACACTGAGGCCAAGCCAGACACAAGGAGACATGAGGGCAAGGGATTCAACATGGAATAACGGGGCCAGCCACCACCCCAACTCTACAAAGCAGCCCAAAGTAGGTGAGAGAATATCAAAATGAAGAATCTAAGCTGGGGTGCACACTGCAGGGGGAAGCAGCTGTGAAGCCCCAACTTTTTGCCTTCACATACCCACCTACCTGCATGGTAGTTTCGATGGCCAATGGCCTTGGGGTCAGTAGCACTGAAAGGCTGAGGGAAGCAGAGAAATAGTCAGAAATCACCCCCTACTCCACTCCCCCTCCTCCACCATCACTAAGCAATATATAAACACACTGGAATAGATGCCCACTCCACCTAGTCCTCCATACCTCAGCCATGTTGCTAATGACAATCGCCATGATGATGCCATAGATGGCCACAGCCTCACAGAAGATGATGCTGGTAGTGGTAGCAGGGGATTAGGGGGTGGAGAGGAGAAAGAGTTGAGAAAGAAACCAACCTTCCTCCCTGAAGAGTCTCCAGCCACCTCTCCCCCACTGACATCCGACCCCAGCAGGACGCTTGTCAGGCAGGTCAAACGCACAGGCAGCTACCAATGCAGCTGATTCTGACAACCTTACAAGGGTCCTACACTTACCTGACCAGGTTCTTGGTCTTAATCCTGGGGGCCTTCACCCCTCCCCCAATGATGGAAGAGCCAGTGATATAGATGCCCCTGGTGGACGGATAAGAAACCAATGAGCAGAGCCCAATCCTGTCATTGCCCCCAAGATGACTAAGAACCCAGTAACACCACGTGCTATGATTCAGCCCCTCCCCTGACCCATGACCCCAACACTTACCATGCTGCCCCAACCACAGACAGAGAGATAGCTAGGCCAATTCCCAGGTTTGACCACATGAAGGGGGAAGTCTCCGTCAGGAACCTGGTGTGTAGACGGCGGAAGACAATTCAGCCGTGGTGGAGAAGTGGGCACAAAATCCACCCCCTCCCCAACACCCCCAGTCCTCGATGCTGAGACAAAACACTTCATGTTTCCCAAAGGTCCCCATCCCAGACAGCTGGGGGGTGGGGTGCGGTAGGGATCAGATCAGAGAGGGCAGGCTGCAAAGAAGCTCCTAGGGGAAACCTCCCCCTTACCATGCCACATCAAAGCGGAAGCCCAAGTCAAAAATGGTGTAGCAGATTCCTGCAGCAGTGAGAAAAACGGGGGTTAGGGACTGCTCTCTAGAGAGAAGCGCCACAACTTAGGCAAGAAGTTACTGCCCAGCTGATGGGCCACCTTCCCAAAAGGTCTGCCTACACCTAAGTCAAGGGAGAGTCCTCTGGCTGGCCCCACGCAAAAGCACAGCTGCCTATACAAATGCCTCTACTCAGACCTCCATTTTCTGCCACTCCTTCAGGAACATATCCCCTCTGTGACACCACCTCCCTGACCCAGAGCCGTCAAGAGGAGCCACCGGCAGGCCTGAATACCCTGGAGGAGGGGAGGGAGCAAGAGCTCTGGCCAGGCCCCACCAGATGCAGCCAGCCCAATCCGAGCCGCTGTTTACCCAACACGCTGTGCGTGTGGGGGGAGAGCAAGACTACCGGGAAAAGAGGAACTGGAGCAGCCGGCTCGTGACCCAAGCAGGCCGGTCAAGAGCAAGAGAGGGACGACAGCAGGGAGCGAGGGAAGGGGGCGGCAGTGACAGAAACGGACAAGGGCTGCGCTCGCGGTCCCCAGCGAGCCCCGCCCGCGCCCCTCCCCAAGCAGCTGGAGATACGGGTCTCCTCCCCGCGCCGGGGCCCAGTATTCCCAAGCCTCCGCTTCCCCGCTGGGCTCCAGTCGGGCTAGCTCGGCCCGATGCCGGCCCCGCCCGCCAGGGCCCGGCCTCACCCACGACGAGCAGGCAGGCCCAGAAGGCCACGAAGACCCCGGAGTAGAGCAGCACTAGCCCAGTCATGGCGGCAACGACGGCGGGTCTCGGGTCGGGGGCGGGGTGGGGGGCCGGAGCTCAAACCTCGTCCCGGCGTCCGCCGTCCGCCCCGCAGTGTCACCTGACTCACCCACGTGACGCGCCGGCGCCACGTGACCACACGCCAGGCCTGGCGCCCCGGCGCCGCCGGTCTAGAACTTGGTGATGCCGGAAGTGCGACGCAGAGGATTGTGGTGGTTGTAGTCTCGCACGCCTGAGGGCCTCGGATGCCCTTCTTACTCAGTACCTCGACTCCTTGCCTGGCCGGTCAGTCTCGCGTCCGACCAAGCTCGCTCCTTCTGCGCCCCGACACTCCGTCCTGCTCCGGCCACCAGCCCTGCTTTCCTGCTCGCCGCCGCCCTAGCTTAGTCTCCAAGCCAGTGCTGATTTCGCAGGCCTCCCCACGACCGTCCCACCCAGTTCCGCGAGGGTGTCCGCTCCGTCCCTTACTGAGCTCATGCTGTTTCCTTTGCCTGAAGCACGCTTCTTCGTGCTCACCCCATGGCCCAGCCAACACTTACTGGTCTTGGGATACCATTCCCCCAGGAAGGGTTCCCTAACCAGAGGCAGGGGAGTGCGCCCGCTCTGGGCTCCCCCGCCGCCCTGGCGATCATTATGAAAGCAAGATCATGTCACTCTCTTTGAAATACCTCGGAGGCCCCCATTTCCCTCGGAATAAAAGCCATAGTCCTTAAAATGGCCTACTAGGCCTCTACTGTTGCGCCTCCCCATGCCTCTTACCCGACTTCATCTCCTAATACTTCCCCACTAACTCCCTCCTCTGACTGCACTGGCCTCCTGGCTGTTCCTTGAACACACCGGTCACACCCTCAACGCGTTGCACTTGCACTTGTTCCCTCTGCTTCTCCAAATTATCCGCGTGGTTCATTCCTAACTTCTTTCAGCCTTTGCTCACCTTCAAAAGGCCTTCTCTGACCATCCTGTTTAATACTGCAGCC